TCCGTAGAGATTCACTCGGAGATGATATGCGCCGGACATTCGGACGGACATCAGGACGCGTGCTTAGGTAACGTTAAAAAATATTAAAACCGACATCAGACTATTAAAACGTCACTACGAGAAGGAGGCGATGTGATGTAAAAATCAAGTCAGTGAGCTTAAAACGAAAAGTCGTAACTACATTTTCGCAACCACCACAAAACACCAGTTTTATTGGATTAGTGCAGTCCCCCTGTGACCGTAAAGTACAACATCGAATATCATAAAAAAATTGTCGATAACATTAAAACGTTCACGCAACTGTCACTCTAAGATTCGTAATAGACCCTCTGTTCGTTACATTTAGCTATGTTCCCGTCAAACAGTTTGCCACTAGATATCATGTTTTTAATATAATGGCATAGATACTTGCAAATTATAAGGTATTTTTCCTCTCCAGGTGATTCCGGAGGACCACTTATAGTTTTAGACGGAGGTCGTTACTACCTTGTTGGAATAACATCAGCGGGCTTTGGATGCGGCGTCGACCATCAGCCTGGCATCTACCACAATGTCAAGGTCACCGCGGGTTGGATCAAAGGCGTTATATCACCATCTATCAACTACATTGACTTCTAAAACAAACAGCGATAGTTATTGAACTTAAAAACTTCGAAAAGACAATTAAGCTACACTGCATTGGCTTATATTTAATGGATAGGTGATTGTTTCAAGCGACAGCTTATCATTCGTTGTAACTTAAACGTATCTGTTGATGTTACTGAGGAATCAAAGCGAGACTAAACTGTTGTGCGATAGTTTAGTCTCCGGTGTGCGCACGCTCTAAGAAATAAGAATAATTTGAATCATCACTACCAACCACAACAAACAGCGCCAACATGCCGAAAATGAATTGGCAAAAAAAAACCCAGAGCCTATCCATTTAATAGAGGTTAGTGCATAATTGACACAACTCATGATGCAACTCTTATTCCACACTGACAATAATGGCCCATAGTATTAGTACTAATTTAACAATTAGTTAAATCAGGTCTCGCGTCAGTCATTGCATAGATATTATCAAATGTCACGCACTAAATATACGCCAAGGACCATTTTTGTTCACGGAATGTACTAAGTTTCAATATTTAATATTTGTACATATTTTCCATTAAAAAAACAGGATAAGAATAATAACAAGTAAATTGACCTGTAATCTACAGTAATATTATAAAAAGGAAAGATTTGTATTTTGGTATTTCTGGTTTCTTTCTATGTATTGAAATAATTCAAACACTACTGGGCCGATTATAAAACTTATTTTACCGTTAGAAAGGTAATTTATCAGTGAGTAATATGTTAGGTTAATTTTTTTTACATTTTAAATATCACAGTGACAAAGTTGCAAGCAACAGCTTAGTACTAAAGTCGTTTAAAGTTGTTATTTCAAAGGTTTTTGTTAGATTTTACGGTAATATTGCAAATGACTTCCTTAAATTAAAAATTACCTTCTAAAGACGCGATTTGTAATGTAACCTAGTGTGAATTTCCACTGCCGGAACACCAATACGAAAGAATATTGTTATTTATTTTGTCAGTGGAAGTTTAGACGGGACTTGAGGCTGTGAGAGTGATGAATTGGTACAAGTCAAAGTGCAAATATACAATTGCATTACTTTTAGACATTATAAGAATAAAACTGTTTAATATAACAAGAAAAGACTTTAAAAATGTATTTAAAATAATAATAGCATTTAACATTTTATATATCTGTTTTGTTTTCACTATTTTTTAAGTATTTACTGTAAAAGGAACTATTGTACTTATATTTATTACTTGCCACTGTTCCTTTCTAATATAAAACCTTTGCTAATTTGATCTCCTTTAATTTATAAAATTAATTATTGTTTATCACCTTTGTTATGTAATTGTTACGAAATTAAAAAAAAACAATAAAGATTTTTCTTTTAATTAGTGCCTAACGACATTCGTTGTATTTTTAAATCTCGAATTACAATATCTATACTTGTCTACTATTATATTAGCATATTTTTGAATAATTCTTTTTTTAATAAACAGCCTAACATTTACTCCACGTTTAATGCTATATATTTTCACGCCATTAAACTTAGGGGGTAAATATTTTGAATAAAAACCCTAATGTGGCAAAGAGACCATAAGACCAACATCAAGGAAGCAAGATTGCCAAGGTGTGTCATGTCATGTCATTTTGATATTTGCTATTGATAATTTGACAAATGTAAACAATAAAAAAAATCTCATAATTTCATGCGGAAGAAGCCACACGGGAACAGCTAGTTATTTAATATAACACAAGACAATTGACCTCAGTAATCCTGGCTATGAGGAAAATAGTGAAATGTAAACTTTTAAATATGTTTTTAAATGTCCACAGCTACTGAGGTCCACGTAAAACATGATCTTTCTAAAGAGTCTAGTCTAAATAGGACCTCTTATTACCACGCACACTTAGTAATAGCGGTCAGTTTATTATTTTTGGTAATTTCCTTGAGTCATATAGACTGGACCTTTATGCCTCCTACAAACAGGAAAAATCACTTTCAATATTAAATGGATATCCTACAGTATAACCTGTTCTTATCGCGGTGACCGTCAATTGAAACCTTAACTTAAACACATATGATTCAATTTACATTAACACATCTGTCAGACAGATTAAACAACCTTAATAAATAATAAACAAGGGAATTAATACTGTAACATTATTGAAATAAGGTGTATATTTGGATGGTAATGGCGCAACGGTACCCAAGCGAAACGAGCCAACACAAATGTCAAGTATCCACCCAGCACAGTCGCTTAGAATGTCGCAACGAAGCGACGTTCATTTTTAAAATAGTTTTAATAAATAAAACTTTCTTTATTCTATTCTCTATCACAGTGTATTTTTTTAAATAAATAAAATGGTGAAATTACAATGGATTGCATTTCTAATTGGAATGGTGTCCGTTTTGGATGGACAGACCTTGGGCGGTAAGTGAAAGGCATTTTGTATCCATGTTTATAAGATTACATATAAGCACATAACAATGCTTAGGTTTTTTTTGTTTCCTAATGGAAAGTAGAGAGTGCCTAAGTATTGCCTAGATATTGCACCGGCGTCAATCTGTTTTGAAATACTAATTTAGCTGTTTCAAAACTAACGGCGATAGACTACCGAGGCTAAATATAAAAATATTTGATTATAAGAACACGATTATTTGCATAATTCTTTTAGTCCATTGTTGAACATAGAAAAAACTCAATTAAAATAATGTCACCATTTTTCTAATTATATTCACTTCAAGACCTTACCTTTTTTAATTTTATTTTATCACAACGGCAAGAGTGGTGTTGCCATATAATCTCTAAGAAGCTCTAAAAGCTTTTCAGAGAGAGAGTTTACGCAGAATGATCTCTTTCAGGACAATTCATAAATCAAACAGGTGTTTCCCGATGGGACAACTAGTCCACCGATGTGCCGCATCGATGAGATTTTTCTCATTGGGCAGATCAAATTCATACAATCAATCGACCCAATGGGAGTGAAATCTCAATGGGTCGAATGATTGGCTCATCGGGAACAATCATAAAAGCTTGGGGGAGAAATTAGAACTGTTTTTGAAATTCCAAAATCAACATCTATTTACGAGTACATGTCTGTACTAGTATTATGAAGAGGAAACATTTTCCTTTTTTTAGTTATGTATTGAAATAACTCAAAAACTACTGGACTGATTTTAAAAATTATTTTACCATTAAAATGCTACGTTAACAGTGAGTAACATAGGCTATATCTTTTTTATTATTTAACAAGCTTTCGCGACTCCGCACGCGTAGAATTATAGAAAAAAAAATCAGTAGCCCATGTGTTATTCCAGACTGTTCTCTACATGTATGCCAAAGTTCATCGAAATCAGTTCAGTAGTTTAGGCTACAAATTTAACAAACATCTATCCATCCAACTTCGCATTTGTATTATATTATTATTATTTAATAATACGCGGGCTAAGTCGCAAGCATCAGCTAGTAATAGTTTTAATAATTCATTAAATTCATATTGGTAATAATCGCAGAAATATTTGTTAAAATAACGACACCGTAACTATATCGAGTATACGCGTTAATTATTTCTAGCGGTAATTAATAATATGTAACGGTTTTAATTATTAAATAAGTTGTCATTGATTTTGTAATAAATTCTTAACGTTGAAAATTAATGATTTTTTAATGAAAGCGCGGACAAATAGATCGGGTCACTATAGTGACATAGTGCATTATAATGCAAACTATTCAATTACGGAACGGTACTTCTCTTGTTTTTGAAGTTATTGGCTATTTCTACTAAACGATACAATTAAATAGCCTATAGTACTCACTGATAACGTATCTTTTTAATAGTGAAAGAATTTTGATTTTTTTTTTCGGCCAAGTAGTATTGAGATATTTCAATACGTTCAAAAATATAAACATTTGCAATTTATAATATTAGTATAGATAAGACATTCGCCTCAAATGAACCGAAAATAGATTTGTTTTGCGACACCCTTGAGAATAAGAAACCTTGCAAAAACAGGCGAAGCTTTTGTTGTAATTTTAAAGCCATTGTTGCAAATAACAAAATGAAAACACTATAGCAAATATTCTTATAAATAACTACATTTAGGTTACATGACATTTAGCGATCATTAATCATCAGATTAAAAATAATCATAAGACGATCTTTTTCTGACTCCGAGTAGTTCAATGGTCACTAAGGGAAACCTTAGCGTAGACCTACTATAAATCTATACGACGGCTTTAATAACAACTAAAGTACTAAGTATAGCAGTTAGTCCAATTTAAAATGACGCAATATTATACCGAATACCTATGTTAAAACGCAGAGACACAGGACTTTAACCTGACAGTACGTGACTTGCTTCCCCAAGACAATATAAAACGGCCAACAATTCTGAAACACTACTATTAAGGCGGAAATACAAATGGAAATAAACGAAGGAGCTGGCATGCCAGCTACTGGCACGAAGCGTCAACATATACCAGTAAAATTACAACGAGATAGTATGAGACGAGATATGTCAGTGTCCCCTCCCCAAACTTGCACATAGCTGTTACCAAATCGAACATCGTGCTAGTTACTTGCATTCCAGTTTTTGGCATGCGAGTGTGCAAGCTACTTGTATGTGTAATCCCGACCCAAGTCAGTCAGAGTTCGTCACATGGACGTGAGATGGTAGATCTCGCTTTGTGACTTTTCGTAAACAATAACGTCTGTAATTCTAAAGAAATAGACATAACCGATCAGTATCATTAGCTCTGTTTTTTATATAAACAGTAGGGAAAATTCAACATTTTTCACATGACCGTCTTTTATTAACGTTTTTTTTTTTTCAATAATACCGCTCATATATTGATATACAAATAAATTTTATAGAATTAAGTTCGTCTAAATCGTTTATCAATAAAGATATTTAATGAAATTGTGCGGCTCTTCAATTAGTTTATTTCAAGTATTAGTACTTGAAACTCTAAAGCAATTTCTTAGCTGGCACTTAATGAGGATGATGATAAGCTACATGTCCGATAAATATTTATCCTCAATTAACTTCACTAAGATACGGTTGTATTATATTGAAGACTAGCTGTTCTCGTCCGATTTCATTCGCATAAAATTATGTTTTTTTTTATGACATCTTAGGCAACAAAGAAGTGTGTGTTTACGCTTTATTATAATAGTAAAGTGCAATAGATTTTAATACGAATGACTTTATAAAAATGTGATAGTCGAGCGGTAATACGAGCAATACTGGTGAATTATTATAAAACGAATACACTAAGGCAACTACGTAAAAGATATCGAACGTTCCGTGGTAACGACTAGAAATGTACCGAGCTACTGAGCTCCTGAGCGACTAAAGGAACTGAGGTACCTCAGTTCCTTCAATCGCTCAGGTAGTACGTCAGTAGCCGTCAGGTTAGAGCTTGTTAGCAACTGAGCGACTGAGTGACTGACCAACGGACTAAGGGCGCTTTACTCCTTGCAAAGACTTTTATAAAACTATTTCCGTTTTTATTATTTTGTAAAAATAGCTATATTTCAAGCAACTATTCTTAGTAGACAATAAATTGAAATTAATAAAAATAACATAATCCCTTTAACAGTTAATTTCAAAACAACTTTATAAACATAAAATAGGAACGTGTTCTTGGGCCCAATTATTTTTAAAGAATTAAAGTGGCATAAACAAGTTATTAGGTAAACCATAAAGGTTTTAAAATATTAAGTACAATGTGAAATTAATAATAAAAAAGTGTCCCTTAATTTTGTCGCGCGATTTTGAGCTAAACTATTTAACTACGTCGTAGTCTGCACCTGCAACCATTACCTTTCGGATAAAAAAAGAATTATCAAAATCGGTCAATCAAAAAAAAAATAATAAAAAAAAACATACAAACGACTTGAGTACTTCCTTCTTTTGGGAAGTCGGTCAATAAAAACCTTTTATATTTAGTTAT